CATGATACCGTGGTCCACGGTATCAAAAGCCGCTGAGAGGTCCAAAAGAACAAGGACAGAGGAATGACCCCTGTCCCGGGCCCTCCAGAGATCATTTACCAGCGTGACCAATGCCGTTTCCATGCTGTATCCCGGCCTGAAGCCCGACTGGAGCGGGTCCAGATAGACTGTTTCCTCCAGGTGCCGAGGGAATTGCTGCACAACCACACTCTCAACAACCTTCGCCACAAAGCGAAGGTTGGAGACCGGGCGATAGTTAGCCAATACATCTGGGTCCAGGGAGGGCTTCTTAAGGAGGGGCCTCACCACCGCCTCCTTTAAGGCCGTGGGGAAGGCACCCTCCCGCAAGAGAGGGACAAGTAGAATTGCAATTTACCTGTCCCTTGAGGACTTCTAACTTGAGAAGCTTTAAACCTAAAGCAAGACAAGGCCTGCTGCAATTCACTTGTCCCCCTCTTGAGTTATCCTGCACTGAATTGTCCCAAAGAGAGTTATCCCACATGAGTTGGCCAGGCAGGACAAGTTGGCCGGGATAAGTTGGCTGGGCTGACTGGATAGCAAGTTATCTTAGACCAGGGGTGGGGAACCTTGGCTCTTTTACGATTTGTGGACTTCAACTCCCAGAATTCCTGAGCCAGCATGGTCCATGCTGGCTCAGGAATTCTGGGAGTTGAAGTCCACAAGTCGTAAAAGAGCCAATTCTGGGAGTTGAAGTCCACAAGTCGTAAAAGAGCCAAGGTTCCCCATCCCTGTCTTAGACCCTCTTGAAGTTGCTCAGGTTGAGAAACACTGATTTAATGTATGTTGCTGTTGTTACAGTTTCTTTGCTCTGTAAGATGTTCCCTCCAACTGACAGACAACAAGCAACTTCATTTTTACCACTAGAAACCATACTTTGCAACTTCCCTACCCACCTGAAGGGAGAAATAGATTTCAGGCAGGAAATCTTATTACCGTCAATTTCCAGGTTAGTTTTCATTGCACCCTGGCACAACTCTGATTCTATTGAATGTTAAGGCTGTACCCAGCAGCCTAATGGACAAGAAGATAAATTTGGGACAGTGGCTAAGAATAATAACCAATCCAGACACACATGGAGCTGAGATGTTAATTAAAGTTAAATTTCCCAAAGATGCTTTTTCAGTAGGCAACTGGGCTTTCTTATTTTTCTTTGGAGACATTTCGCTTCTCATCCAAGAAGCTTCTTCAGCTCATTCAAGAAACTTCTTCATCTCATCCAAGAAGCTTCTTGGATGAGCTGAAGAAGCTTCTTGGATGAGAAGCCAAACGTCTTCAAAGAAAAACAAGAAAGTCCAGTTGCCTCTTGAAAAAGCACCTTTGGGACAACCATGACCTGGATGACTGAGAATCTCCATAGACATAAAGTGAAATGTATTGCTGTATTGAAACTAATACCACAACAACTATTGTTATTATATTGGCCTATTCTTAGTGTGAATATTTAAGTGTAAGCCTAACTAAACAAACCAAGCAAGTTTCTATTTTAAACGTTAGCTAGCCTTCTTTTTACTTTCCTGGGAGAAAAAGGGGCAGAGTGGAACAGAGTGGAGGGGAAGAAAGCCAAAAGGCTCTAAATTTCTTCCTAAACCAATCTAGCAATCTTTGCAATGGTATTTAGAGCAGGGCTGCCTTGCTAACAAAGCTGATTTTGTTCCTTGTTCGGACAGTCTCTCCTTCCAGCAGCTTCACTTGAAATCTCTGTCAGCCAACTGTGGATTTTCTTCAATCCTCTTACCAGTCTGCAGCTGTCAACCTTCTTGGTGTCCTCAGCTCATCCAGTTGCTCCTTTCACCAACAGAAGACCAGTGTCTTTCAAACTTGGCAACTTGAAGATGTGTGAGCCTCAGCTGTGACCTGAAAGAATCCCCATCTTGACTGCTGCCTAACTATTGTGGTTCTTATATATCCAGGGCCAGATTGCAGGAATTCCTAGGGCCTTTTTTTCCCTGTAAATGCTGACATGGCTTTGGCCTTCAGCTATTAGGAAGAAAACATTTGACCTTGACATTTATGATGCTGTAAAGAACTTTTTTTCTTATCACAGCAGTTCATTCTGCCACATTAAGAAGAATCATGGGTCTCTTCTGAAAAAAATCTGAGCCTTAAATGCTTCAAAGCCATTTGGAATGACGGCATGAATTCTTGCTCTTATGAGCCACAGCTACCTTTGGCATGTGCTCACAGCATAATATATGTGGCATTTCAAGTTCCACTGACTTTTCCACAATGGAAATGCTGCATTGGGCTCATTAGAAAATGCTCTAAGCACAGGCCTTGATGTGCTGCATTCACTATGCCCAACGCAGAGCAATTGTATGAAAATAATGCTGGCACTATGATTCCCTCAGAAATGAAGAGATATAAAGATTCATGTCTGATATGGTCAGATTTTAACGTATAGGTGTTCTATTTATTTATTTATTTATTTGTATCCTGCGTTTATTATATAATAATCATTTTATTATTATAAGTATAACTCTCCAGCTATGGTAATCCTCTCCTAACATTATCAGATAAGCCCAACATATAATTTTAGATTCTAAAGAAGATGTAGACAAGTTAGAAATATGAATTATGAACCAAACTTCATCCATTGTTTACTTCCTCGTGAAAGTGTGAAAGGGAGAAACTTGTACTGAGAAATCATATTTCTTCAGTCTGTGTTGTGGTGAGGGTCAGGCAGCCATGGATATATATATGAGAAAAGTTACTTTAAAAGCAATAATAGTGACAAACCTCTGGATGTTTACTTGCACGTGCATCCTGTTAAACTTTGCAAAAATTGAGTAAAATGGATATGTCTGATGTAATGTTGTCTGATGTAATGTTGTCTATGCAATATAAGAGGCAGTATACAA